TGATTTCTGAATTTTTGGCTTTATAAGTTCGAGGTTCTTGTAGCATTTGATTTCTAGAAAGAGTGAATACGGCCAGTGCCATGCCCTAATGGAAGACTGAAGTTTGGAAATGGTTAATGGACAGTAGCATCATGAAAATTCACTTATGCACATTTTTATCTCTTATTTTTTTATAAAACTCAAATCTAAATTAATTTTGGAGGGTCTGTGTGCATTATTAGTTTAGTGCATATCTTTAAAAATTTATAAAATATGAAAAAATATCTCTGTCACCCTATTTTAAAATTTCATATCCCATCTGACTCAAAGTTTGAAAACATTTATGGTGGCATAGAAATACCACATGATATAACTTCTAAGCCCTTGGACCAACCATGGTCCTTTTGACTGCCCCTTTTTAGCCCAAACAAATGTAAGAAAGCCATCCGTATCTACTCTTTTCTATAACTAGTTTCTCACATTAAGGAGAGATGGGTGAGAGAGAGACAGAGGTTTGGAGAGAAACACATGGACAGATATAAACTCGTTATAGAGAGAGGGATTCATAGACATTGACGGTAAGGAGAGATAGGTGAGAGAAAGAGATAGAGGTTTAGGGAAAAACACAGGAAAAGAGATAAACTCGTTATAGAGATAGAGGGTTTTAGAAAGGAATAGACATGTGCTTTTCTTACTTTTGTTTGGATTAAAAAGAGGTATTCAAAAGGTTAAAATTCGTCTACGGGTTAAAAAAAGAGAAATATCCTTGTACCTCTTATTTTTGGTTTTCATATCTCAATAGACTCAAATATTCAAAATACATCTCCTAACCCCTTGACTAACTTTAATCATTTTTAACTATTTTGTTAACCCTAACAAATATAAAAAAGATATGCTCATTCTAAACCCTTCATCTGATATATTCTCCTCAAATTTCTCTAACATTCACCCTCTTTGTCTATCTAATAGGAGAGAGAGAGAGACATGGGAGGAGAGAGAGCGAAAAAATACGTAAAGATATATTTAAGAGAAAATCACGTGAAGAGAGAGAAATGATGATGTTTAGAAAGAATGTCTTTTTTATATTTGTTTGGGGCAAAAAAATAGATTTAAAAGGAATAAAATTAACTTAAGGAGTTAAAAGATATAAAACTTAGTATTTTTATGACCCAAGATATGTTTTGAAACTTTAGGTCTATTGAGATATAAAACTTAAAAATAGAAAGTATGAAGATTTTTTCCCAAAAATATATTATGTGGGATTTCTATGCCATCATAAATCTTTTCAAAACCCAAGGTCTATTGGAAAATGAAAGTTGAAAAATAAGGTGTACAAAGATATTTTTCCTAAAAAAAAAATGATTCGAGTAAATCAAAATGATATTTTCTGTCATTTATATCTTTTTAAACTATTTATTTTATATTTTTTTAGAGGTGTGTGAGAGCTAGAAGTTTTGGACGGGCCAAATTTCATCTCTTTATCATGTAAAGAGGACAAAATTTAAATACTAACATATGCAATCAATTGTCTGATCAAGATCAATATTATTTGGTCATTTTGATGATGTTAGCCTGGTATTCATCCATTTTTATTTCTTTCCCAATATTAAATCGAGATGAAATTTAGAGTGTGCGTGCCTCTCAGCCAAAATGTTCCTCAAAGCTTAAGAAGTGTTTTAGATCTTTTATTTTTATGAAATACTTTTTACATGGGCATGAGGGCGAGAAATATGCATGCCTAAATTTTTGGCTCAATCTATTGTAGAGAAAAAATAAAATTGCGATAATCAAACATACCCTCAATTATCTATTTTATGGTGACCTACCATCACATTATTCTCTTTTAGGTCTAGGCTGTACATTTTGTTAGATGTCTCGTCGGTGACTTATGATTTTAAAATCCCTTTCATAAACAACTACCATCCCTTCGTGAAAAAAAAAGTGAATAAACAATTAAAACTGACTAATTTTCAGATCTCCCAACAGGTTATCAAACACACTAGTTATCGCTTCCAAACATCAAAATATCCAGCTTCCAAATGTTCAAAAGTTCTGCTTCCCAAACAATTTCCCATTTTTAGTCATCAAAACACACTCTCAGAGATGAAATCATGCAAATCCACACATTAATAAACCTTATACACAGTACAAAATAGACAGTGCTCCATGACTTGATCCAAATACAATGCAAGCACTCTTGAGTAGAAAGTTCTAACCTCTTTCTAATGCACACATATTTGGTATTATTTACTTTGCAAATAGTTAAATTTGAAGATGTTCCAAATCGAAAGTAAAAAGTTTATATAAGGTGTCAACCATGTAACATTGAAGTAGGGCACACCTCAAAAATCCATTAAAAGAGGTTGTTTTGATGCTATAAAACCGTCTCTTTAAATAAATAAATAAAAGATTTCAAACATTGAAAATAGTGCATCTTGTAACTTACTATCTAAACCGTCCATTTTCAAGATTTTTAAATGTTTATAAATTTGTTCAATCCATATCATTTTTTGTGCTTTAGATTTCACAATTAGGGGTAAAGACAAATTTTTAAACCTTCGCAATGGTTTTCAACACCAAAACTGCATCCTTCGGAAAAGGTTGAGATGCGTCTCACGTTGTTGTTAAAGGCTGACGCCTTATACAAACCACAGCCAAATATAAAGTTTGAAACTAAAACGATCTCAGCACAAAATCATGGACTAAAACCTGATTTTCATTATCAAAGTCATATTATATCAATTTTAACCCAATAGCCTTGAGGAATTGTAAAAATTCCATTATGATATGAAATAACTTGAGCCATTCCTAGAGGATACCTAGGACATAACCCCACCTGAGACCACAACCCCTTACAGCTTCATATCAACCAAATTATAGATTGGGGTCCAAAACCTTTTAGATTCTTCAACATATGGTTTGACCACAATGACTGAAAATTGTTGTGGTGAAACAATAAAACGCTATGAAATGTTTAGGGTTCAAACAAAACTGATGTTAATAGACTAACATTGGTTCTTAGTCTGATCATCAGTCCCTAATCAAGCTACTTTCCGTAAAAATAGAAGTATCTTTGAGCAAGCGTTAATTACTTACAAACTCATCCATAGCATGGCTTAAAGAAAAGAGAGAGCACCTTTTGCCTAAAAATTGACCTCCACAAGGCTTCTGATAGGGTTAAACAACAATCTCGATAAATGAACTTACAAAAGTTTGGGTTCGAGGAGAAATTTATTAATTGGATAAATAAAAATACGTATGACTATCTCCGGATATTCTGTGGTTCTCAATGGTACCACTTTTCGATATTTTGAAGATAACAATGGTCTTAGGTAAGGAGATCCCTATTCCTTTTCCCTGTCGCATGCTTCAACATTATAATAAAAAAGAGACGCTAGAAGGGAGATTCCAACTACCAAGATTTCCTACAGTTCCACTCCACTCCTTTCTATCTATCATATGTTGATGACCTTCTCGTTTTTGGGCACCCTAACCATCAATCCTATAATTCCCTTAAACGCACTCCATTCAACTACCAATATCTCACCAGCCTACAAAAGGACTCCAATAAAACAAATGTATTCTTCTTCAACTCCTCCAATGTTGACGAAGTTCAAATTGTCAATTCCAAACTGCAACCTATCAGAACTTCCGTCCAGATATGCTATTATTCAAAGGAAAACTCACCCCTAACCTTTGTTAGCCCCTAATCGAGAAAACCATATCCAAAACTAGCGATTGGAACCAAAAGCCCTACCCCTTCCAAGAAAACTTTCAAACTAACCTCAGCCACCATTTGTGCTCATGTCTTACTTAAATCACAAATCATTTGTGCTTGACTTTCAAACTAACCTCAACCACCATAAACATCTTAGAAAAGGTACAAAGGAACCTCCTTTCGGGAACTAAAAAAAATCAAAGACACCCAACCCTTGTTAACTACTTGTAAACCTAAGAGCGAAGGTGGGCTTGGTATCAATATTATTAAGGACATTAACATGCATCTTCTAGCTAAACTTAGATGGGAATTGACAAGTGAAACAAACTCCACGTGGTCGGATCTGATAAAAATAGTACCTTTGGATTACTAAATAAGACTCTTGGGCCTGGAAAGGCATGCATGAAACCCTCCCACTTATAAGGAGACATAAACTGCGGACCTTAGGTGATAAAAACACTCATTTGATTCCAAATAATAATGGATACTTCACATCCCAAAGTGCTCAAGAAATGATAAGGGATAAATGGGTGAAGAACAATTCCCTATTGGCCATGTGGAAAAAACCGATTCACCCGAAGGGCTCGTGGTTTTCATAATTAGCCTACTCAAAGAAGCTAGTTACAACAGATAAAGGACAAAGATAGGGACTCCAACTGGTTAATTTTTGAGACTTGTGTAAAGACGATGATGAAAGTCATGACCACCTCTTTATTTGTTGCAAATTTGTAAGCAACATATACAAAGCCATCGTGTGGAGGTTCAATACGGGTACTATAACCGAATGTAAGTTTCCCTATCCTGCATGTAACAATCACCACCATGACCAGACCTCCTCTAGCAACCATTGTATAAACTTGTAGTGGACCTTTAAAAATTTGTCCACTAATGCAATAGAGAATTTACATAATGAAATGGCATAGTTGAAATTTTGATTGAAAATAATAGTGGAAGCTTACATGCCAGGCTTCTTAGCTCTCTACTTTAACTAGGTCTTTCAAAACAACTAATATTCAACTTTGAAAGAAAAACCCTAATGCAATACCTATGTCTAATAAAATACCTTACTTAGAAGCCAAGAAATCCTCATTCCAAAAGGACTCTAATTACTTGTCCAAACAATCCTAAATTCATAAGAACCAAAAAAAAAAACTAGAAAACCTAAACCCTAAAAATAAACCCTAAGGAACCTAAAAAGCTTAAAACACCCTAAAATGCCTTTACAGCTTAAAAAAGTACAAAACCCTAAAATCCCCAAAAAAGTATCCCTAAAATCATAATAAAATTTTTAAAATGAGAGGCATCATATCCTGCATCATACACACACACAAAAAAAAAAAACAGTCACACAAGAATAATCTAACAATGGCCTTAAATAAGATATTTAGGCCCTCTCTAGATGCGCCAAAAAGCCTATCAAATAAGGCGTTCTTACCAGTTATGGACACATGTGTTTTCCAAAATGCATCTATTGTGAAGAATTACCTCATTTCGCACAAAAATTGACTGACATTTATGTATATAGGCAGAGAGGATCAAAGCACCAATATCATCAAACAGCATGGGCATACAAGCTCGCTTTATATGGCTCTTCTGCTTGGATTCATACAGGGGCTTAGTAAACAACATGACCTATTGGCATTGCTCCCATCCTCCATTGTCGATTCTCTTAAAAACACGAGGTTGTCTGTTTGGGAATGATGTCTGCCAGTCTGGATATCTAACTAGATAACTAAATGTCCTGAAAATCACCAAGTAAATAAATACATGCTTCGGTTTGCAGAAAAATTCACAAGTTTACAAACGAAATAAATGTTCGAAGAAATTAGCAAGTTCTCAAGATTCATTCACTATGTGTTTGAATATACACATGATGCAGAAACGCAAAATATGTAGTAAGGCCCGTAAGCACGACATGAGCACAGTTGTGTTTGTGTGAAAGGGATATAGAACTATGAGCTCAAAATCTGAGCTGATTTTTGGGCGGCTTAATACAGGGAACCTAGGCTCAGGAGACTCCCTCAATTTTTGGGAGGCTCCCTCTGAATCGCTAGGGTTCAGAACCCAAGCCAATTTAGTGTCACCTTGGCAATTCATGGAAAAGCTTGTCATGATCAGTTACCAGGTGAATAAATTGTGTATTCAGATGTAGGTGTCAGGACAACATTGATGGACATGTAAATTCCATGTGATTTCCATTTCTCGGTGTGATCAGATGTAGGTGTTGTGACAAACATCATCTGGTGTTGTGACAAACATGGATGGGCAAGAAAGTTTCACGTAATTTCCATTTCTATGTTGACTTTCCCTCTATACATGCAAGTTAACCACCAAATGCTTTCAAACTAGTGTAGAATGATGGAATTTGTGCTCTCCCATCACATCTAAGTTTTTTGTATCCAGTACCAAATATAGTTCAACCTGTTTCTTGGATAAAACTGCAGATGCATATCAAAGCTAGAAAGGCTTTCACCATTTTCATCATTTTACTGTTCATTTTGCTACTTCCATCTTATCCAAATATGTTTTGGGTCTTAAGAATTAAATTTAACATATACAAACAATTTAAACAAGGGAAGATGGAATAAATTTATTCGTTTTTCGTTTGGTAATGACATGGTTTCAACTTTCAACAAGCATATAAAAATGGCTCAATGAAATCCATGGTGCAAAGAGATCGGCCCATTTTGGGCATGACATTTCCATTCTATTCCCTCTCTTATCACCACAATAAGATGATGGAAGCAGGAAGTCAGCTCATTTGCATGCAAATTCCAAGTGTTAAGAGTCAAGAGCATGAAAGCCAGCGCTAGAATCACTTAGAATCTGGTTTGGAAATCCATGCGAGTTGAACTTCAGAAAATAGATGAATGAGCTGTCATTCACATTGGTTCACTCAAGTACCTAAACTTTTATGGAAAAGCTGACCATAACCCAATGAACTATGAAAGAACCATAGTCCATTGGGTCAGCGCCACTCAATGGTGAAAGACAAAGTGGGAACCATGGGTCAAAACTCTTCGTCATGGGTCTCACTCCATCTTCAACACTGTCCACTATTTCATTGGATGGTGATGACCCCAATGGCCAAAGGTTTTGTAAGGTCCATCAGAACTTTGTATACTATCCCAAAGTTTATAACCAGCAACTGCATACATTCTCATAGACTTGACAAAGTCAGGAGCCTCTGCATATGGGGAAGTTGAACATCGAATTAGCATTTGGGAATCAGAATGTTGAAGAAGCAGAGAAGCAGTAAACTTCCATTCTTGATGCCTGCATTCACAAGAGGAATAGAACAAGCCCAGCATCTTTGAAGTCATATCGGTAAGGGAAATTGTAACGATAGTTCAATTGATGGTGGAAAGCCATGGTGCGCATTGAAGCTATCACCATTGAATAAAAAGATGGATGATGACCAAAGAAGTTCAAAACCCACCTTTGTCCTGTTCTGGTGGGTTCCATTGTTTCTCCATCATCGTCCATCAGTTATCAGATGGTGATTACCCCAATGGGCTATGGTTTTCTATAGTCCATCAGCTTACAGTATACTTCGCTCCTATCACTAATATAACATATGCATTTTCCGATTTCATTATGTGACATACCATGAGACAGGGGCAATTTGAAATCTGTCATGGTCAGTGTCATATGTCTCCAACAATTTTCCTGTCCAATACACGTCTTCAGAGGAAACAGTAATTCTAACTCTCCTAAGAACTTCATCAGGGCACCTAGAACTTGAATCAAAGATAGCAGGTGCCATAGTGCCAGTCGCTGGTTCAACCTGAGGAAGAAACCAACGGACATCCTTAATTTTCAATACAAACCAGGTATGCAAACCAGATTACTCCCATGAAGTGTATCATAATCCAAAGAAGGATATCAGACGGAGCTCATGTCTTCTTCTAATAGATGGAGCTCATGTCTTCTTCTAGCAGATCCCACTCTCTCGCCATCACAATTCACAGTTCATCATTTCTTGGGATTGTGATTACCAGTTAACCACAATGGAAAATGTTTTACATAATAAATTTTCAAAACGGAGCAACAAATAATATGGATACATGTCAACGGAATACAATCATCAACAACAAGTAAAAGGATACAACTGCAGCTAATTCACCCATATAAAGTATTTCAAATATAAGATAATGGAGAGAGGAAGAGAGAGAGAGAGAGAGAGAGAGAGAGAGAGAGAGAGAGATAGATAGATAGAAGAGCGAAGAAAGTAATTATTCAACTTTAGGCATCGGTGCAAACTTGTAAAGCATCAAACCTATGATATCAAAAATAAAAAATTGTGGTCGGGAAAGAGAAGCATATGGGCTGTTCGCTGTCTATTCTAAAATAAAAAATAAAAAATTCTAAAAAATATATTTACATCTACTCACTCTCTAAACATATTAAATACACAAGGTTAAATTTTTTTAAGGTTTCGAATATTATTGACATATTTTTCGGAAAATTTGTGTAATATAGAAGGCATTTCTGTAAAATTTTCAATAAATTATGGTATCTTGTTCAAAATTTAAAGGTATCGGGAGTGTTGAAATTTCTAACAACATATTCAAATTAATGGGGGTGATTCTCTTCACTTCAGTTTCGGGCCTAAAACAGAAGAATTCAGCCTATTCAGCTGAAGCAAGAGAATCTATTATATCATGGCATCAACTAATAATAACACATGTCAACCATTAAACAATGTGTCCGAGGTTGACAAGTAAGCCAACTCTGGGCCTATAAGTACTAGATCCATCAAGCATTAAGGCAATGATAGAATTTCATGACAAATATGCCAAGTAAACATTTGAAAGTCCAAGATAACCAATCACCATTTCTTAACCAGTTAAGTAGAAAGGGGTGTAAATGAGGTAAAGGCATTCAATGATGTATCTTGGCATAAATGTATGCCTACAAGGCAATTGCACATCCAGAGATCCAGACATTACATTTAACTTTTGAGAGTCAAACTGAACATACGTAGACATTGTCTAGTTTTACAGAAAATTTTACCCATTAAAAATTTTATGGATTTAAAAGAATCTAAAGGGTCATCTATAAACTAAATGATCTTCCATAATCTTGTCAACATGTGCACAGAGAGGTAAGTGAAACAGATTTAAACTAGAAATAAACATAAAAATATAGAATACTTGAGAAAGGCAAAATATGAACTCACCACAAACCCGCGAATAATGGGAAGGGCAACTCCATCTGAATATTGTGTATTATGTCTGAGGAGGCATAAAGTTTGGAGATGAAAAATGGTTGCACTATCCTGTAGGGCTTCGATTATTTTGGGACACAAACCCCAAGAATATCCATCAGATCTTTCTGAGTTTGTTCCAGAATGCTGCAATAAAATTTTAAATGAAATACTCAATATATACCACTCAAAAAAATAAAAAAATAAAAAAATAAAAACAAACAAAGGGTCCTCTGTATGGACTAGTAGGCAATGCATCCCAGGTCCAAACCTCATATGGTGCATCTTCATATCCACCAATAAGATGCACCTAAAGAAGTGACATGACAAATATTCTCAGAAAAGAACCCAACTATGGCAGAGGAAAGGAAAAACAAAATGCTAAAACATTAACAAAATATATGCAAGAGAATAGAATTTTAGAGGCATGGGAGAATAAGATAATAGGGAAGACAGACATCTAATTCAGCTTTGACATCTTCATGTGTGACAGATGACAACATCTGGCTCAGGCCTGAATCAACAAGCCCCGGAGAATCGAGATGACCGACTGAGGTACTGTAGTCACAAGAACAATAAAAATTTCAAATAAGTTAGAAAGCAAACCGAACAAGACTCTTTACTGAATTATCATATGCATAAATAGCCAAAAACTTACAAACCAATAACTTACAAACCAGACTTCCGGTTTCGAACTACAAGGCCCACACATGTGGTTGCTTCATCCGTGCCAACTAACTACAAGAAATGGAAAAAGAGAGGAATAATGTATGAGATAATAATAAGGCTCCTAGATGTGCATAACAAAGCTATTGATTGTAGACTTCGTCATAGGGGATGAAGAAAATATTCAATCATCTGATAAGATAAAATCTAAATCCTCTGAACTCAAAAATACTTTTAAGTTCTCGAAGTTATGTTATGGTCCCATTCCTATAGAGGATGATACACACACCCCACATAGTATGAGTGCGAGTGTGTGTGTGTGTGTGTGTGAGAGAGAGAGAGAGAGAGAGAGAAAGAGAGAGAGAGAGAGATCTTAACATACAGATAACTCTCTTTCAAGAAACCCAACTTATACAAACTTGTAAAAGAACATGTCACAGAATTTGAGAAAATCAACCAACCTCAACAAGTGAAGGATTAACAGTTGCATATTCTCTTTGGAATACATACACATGTCTAAGAGATGAATGGCGTTCGGAAGTGGAAGCACAAAATGAGATTTTCCTTTCTGGAATTGATTTGAAACAATTTGTTGCAGACACCAAAGTAGGGTGTTCCAATAAAATCAGCAAGTCTTCATATCCCTGCCAATAGATCAACAAACAACTCAAATATTCTAAACTCATGGATGATTTGGTTTGGTCAAAGTTATAAGGATCTAAAGGCCATAAGTAAACATGTTGCATCAATGTGTATGTAGGCAAAATCTCCTTTGAGAATATCATGAAGATGGGTATATCATGTTTCCCATTATGACATAACAAGAGACCATGGAAATATTTTGTGTGAAAAAGTATTTCAATACCCAATGTCCAAGTCATGGTCTAGCTACCAAATCAATTGGTCATTGTGTTTCTTCCCACCTTATAATTTAGTGCATGGTGATGCCTCTAGTCCTTTAAAATTAGTCACTAATTTCACCAAAACAAAAACAGAGAGCCAAAACTTTACAAATGGTGGATTATATCATTGCTAATTAATTGTGCAGAAGTGAATGAGTTACACTGCCTTCTCAAGGAATGGGTAGGCTTAGAAATCAATATGAGTACAATTATAGTTTAAGATGGCAAAATTTATAGAGATATCCACCGGAAAAATGAATCTTCAGACAACAGGGAATCTGATGGGCAGAGTTTAAGGTACTTGGTCTTTTAAGAGTTTTTGAAAGCCATTTTGGCACCTAATGAATTAGGTATGCAGTGATTTTGGGTTGATATTGATAAAATTAGAAGTAGATGAATTATATTGTGCGCATTGGAGATTCCGTCCACTATAATTTGGTTTACTTATTCATGGTTATTTGCTTGTCTACAAAATCTATTTGTGTCAAAGACCAGCCAAACTTAAACTTCAATGATACCCCAAAATAACACTCATATCTACAATAAAAGCAAAATGTTATTCGTAATATGGTTACGGATACAGATACCACAGACACTGGTTGCAGGCTCTTGGCCTGGTGATTCGGATATAAGGCCCATAAGTAACTCAGGAGTCTAAGGTTCGAATTCAAGCCAAATAACCAACAAAGAATAAAAATGAAATGATAGATGCCACTATTATCTTATCAACAAACTTGTAGTTGAATGAGACCATGATCAACAACAAATTCAATTATTCCGAGGCAAAATAATTCCTCCCTAGTTTATCAGCGACAAATTCCATAACATCTTCTCCCAAGCATTTGATCATTTTCTTTCCCTTTTCATATTAAACAAAATTTTGATATCAAACAGTGCGCTTCTAATAAAAAAATGCATTTTTCAAGAAATTCCTCCCTAGCTTATCAGCGACAAATTCATAACATCTTCTCCCAAGCATTTGATCATTTTCTTTCTCTTTTCAAGGTATACAAAAGTTCGATATCAAACAGTGCGCTTCTAATAAAAAAATGTATTTTTCACGAAATTCTCCCTCGTTTATCAGTGACAAATTCCATAACATCTTCTCCCAAGCATTTGATCATTGTCTTTGTCTTTTCAAATTAAACAAAAGTTCGATATCAAACAGTGCGTTTCTAATAAAAAAAAACATGTATTTTTCAAGAAATTCATCTTTTATACAGTATAAAATCCATGAATAAGGACAAAAAATTGATAACAGATAACTGGGGCTTGCAGATAAATCTCTCCTAATGAACTGATTCAGGATATGTCCATTAAAATTGAAGTATAACAAAATAAGGTTAGCAGTAGTTCTGGCTGCCATGTAGAAGAAAACCGCCAATTTTTTGGGCAAGTGAAAATATCAAATTTTGCAGAGTACAAAGAGGAAAACTAAACAGAGAGAGATGGTTACCTCAGAAGAGGAAGAGAAAGCAAGCCCACCAACGAAAATCATTCCTCCTCTCCAATTCCTTTGCTGCTGCTTGTTTCTTTTGTTTTGTCAGGAAACAGGAGAGGGGAGGACTTCACTCTCTGCGATTTTTTCCCCTCCACCCCACTTCATACGGAATTAGGAGTGTAACAATCCGGTGATTTTTAATTAGGATCGTTGATTTGTATGGGAATCAGCCACCCACCAATTTTGTTTTATTTTTATATTATTTTTAAGTTTTGTCTGATTTTTTTAGATCCCTTAAGCTCTACCCAATAAACTCTTATTTTTTTATTTACTATATTTAATATTTTTTAGATCATCCATTCGAACCGAGACCCGATTTGAATGGCTATACTAAAATCCAATATGGATTTATGGATGAAGGATCCACCCACCTTTCCGGATTTTAGTACATTGGGAAATTCATATCCTTTCCAACTACACTCAACAGGAAATTTTTATTCTCCAGGTAATATCTTGTCATTTGTCTACCTCAATCTTCGGTCATTTTTCGATATTATTTTATCTCAGGAGCCCCTTTAGTGACTACAATACCTTGCTTTTTCAAATGAAAAAAAGCTTATACAAGGCATAAATACGTATTGAACGTAAGGTTGCAGGGTTCTTCACTACTTATATTAATTGGATAGTTCATTGTCTTTTAAGACATCAAAACTTGTATAAAGTTTATAATTTTCAAAATGATTTAATTGATTACCTCTTTGGAGTCTATAGTCTCTGTAGTATGTACATTAGGAAAGGAGTTGGGCTGTGGTGGTAGTACCTCATACCTAGTTATCACTTATGGTTTTCAATCCTACTGACACCACCAACTGACATTTAAAAAATAAATAAATAAATAAAGCTAACTCATTTATCGATTTGAAAAAACCAGTAGGGGGTTGCCTTCCTCATTAAATTAAAAAAAAAAAGTCTCTAGAGACTGAAAGGATCTTTTGTTTAATCAAAGATCTTTCCATTCCTTTTAGAATCACCACATGGGAATTGAGAAAAAAAAATTTAATTAATTTGAATTCTTTAGCACTTATACCATCAAAAATTTGGCGTCCACTTGGAACATAATTCTTTTAGGCACATACAGAACACATTTTGGGAGTTAGTCTCCAGATTGCAAAATTTTGGATCCCAAAAATGCTTCTAGGCAGGGTTCTACCAAGTGAATAAAGCCCTTCCAATAAAGCATGTATTCTTTTGGTTTTTCTTTCATTAGATTGGCCGGTCCAATGGGTAGATTGTGATCGTTACCTTTGCCGGTCCAATGGGTAGATTGTGATCGTTAACTTTGTCGGTCTGGTTCAAAGCCAAAACTTGATGTTGGTTGATAAATAATTAAAATCAATACTTGACTGATTCTAACTTTCAGGCAGACACTTTTAATCATTAACCCAAGAAAACAAAGGTGATTTTTTTATAATATATTTCATATATTTTAATTATTATTATTATTTGTATCTATCTTTTAAAATTTGATCCAACCAATTTAATTGATGGTCAATCTGGTTTGAATTGGACAAAACCCCTCATCAGTTTGGTGGTCCTTTCACTTCATAATTTTTTAAGGCAACTAACTTGATGCAAGTGGAGAAAGAAAAAGGAACTAGACTATAACTTTCCATAGAATACGGGAAAGTTATACATTACCGGAACGATCATGCGAACTGAGCAGTTCGGGTGCTCAAGGTAGCCATAGAACCATGGCGAGTCATCTGAGACAGGATCATGAAGATGGCCAAACCTTTGGCCCAAGGAAAATAATGCAAGTAAAGTTAAATAAGACAGTGGTAAAACTCCATAAAACTTTATTTGTAAAAATAAGATTGCAAAAATCTAGGAATAGAATTGATAACTATCTCAAAAGACATGCCCACTTTTAAACTTTGTTTTAAAACATGCGTCAAATTTATACCACCTAACTAAAATAGGCAAAGCATCACAACTTCTGCAAATAGAGGGGCAGCTTTTTACAAACCACACCCAAGAAAATCTCTCTCTCTCTCTCTCTCTCTCTCTAACATATAACTTTCTTCCAGCTTTGATAAATGGTATGAAGTTTATCATCTCCAAAAATGGTGTGCACCATGTCTAAGCATCCAAGAGAAACAGGACAGCATCCAATAATGGGATACAGAGAAATTAAATCAATCATATCTATACATCCAGGCAGCTGGAAACCATGTTAGCCGCCTCCATTGACATGCGTGATCTAAAAATTTTAGCATTTCTTTTGCCTCCCTATCAACATTTTGAAGTGAAATCATAGATAAATATGGATTTTGTGTGTAAAGCCTTCAAAATAATGCATAATCAGATGGTAAGTCTTCTCAGTTAAAGAAATCATGGAGAAGGAAGACTTTTGGTGTTCATCAGCTGTTTCAAAATTTGAATCTCTAGATGAGCCATACCAGGGTTACCTTAAACCTCGATTAGGCTGTAATAGTGGTTAAGCCAAAAGGAGGGCCTCTCATACAATGAACTCTGTTTTCTCCAGAAGAAAGCAAATAAATAGCATGGGAAAACAGCAACTCTCATGGTTACCAATAAAGGAAATAAAAATATCATAAATCCCAACTTTCTAGCGATGGATCGAGAGAAAGAGAGAGAGAGAGAGAGAGAGAGAGAGAGAGAGAGATAGAAAAACATTTTCTTCAGAAGCCATGCTGCTCAGGGACACAAGATACATCCAAAACCAAAGAAAATAAAACCCGAATAGATTAAATGATTTACTAAGCTCAAAAAAAATCAAAACCATCGCAGAATATGGCCCTTGCAGCCATCCACAAAAGCAATGCCAGAATACAATCACAAGATAGAATTAACTTAAATCAATTCACCGGAATTTTTAGCCGAATTTTCAGAGAGCATGAGCCACAAGGAAGAAGCAACTCCCTCTCCACCGCGCCTAATCCATGTTTTCCGATTCTCTTTCCATTTAGAGAAACCCCCATCTCTCCAAGCTCACTAGAACTGACCCAATAGTAATCTCCACATCTGCATGGATGATAAAGCTCAAAAGCTTCGCCTTCACTATCTTGTTCTATTCCCATTTCTTCTAACTCTACATCATCTGCAACTGCTAAAAGCTGCCTAGAAGCCCGCAACTCTCTATCATAGTTGGCCCGAGATCTTGGGTCCCCAAGGATTTCCCATGCTTTCCGTATTTTAAGGAAATCTTCCCTTGATTTTTCCTCTCCTTCACAATTATTATTTGATTTATCAGGGTGGAAAATGAGGATAGAGGATCGGTAGCTGGAGCGAATTTCTTCATGAGTTGCATCTTCCTTTAAAGAGAGGATTTCATAGTGGGTTTTAGAGTATTTCTCACCTCCAAGAAGCATGACTAGGCCTATGAATAGCAGCAACCCTCACTATAAGAAAAAGGGTAAAGTATATACATGATTAGTATTTGCATAGTTGTATGAAGTTATATTTACCATGAAAAAGAGGAAGAAGTATGACCATGTGTGCGGCTTATAGAGAGCAAGAGAGAGAGAGCAAGAGCGAGAGAGAGCAAGGGCGAGAGAGAGAGAGAGTATTCAGACATGTACAAGAGAAGGGGTACGCATGATTTCCAAAAGGAAAGCAGTGTTGCATACCTATGTCCTATATTGCGTAGTTTGGACAAAAAACAACCAAACACATGATTTCCAAATGGACTACAGCGTTGCATACCTATGTGCTATATTGGACAACGAACAACCAAACACCTGTGGGGCTCACTATCTACATTTTGCTTTTTTATGAGTCATTTCCATATTTTTAAGTTGCTTGCAAGATACAAGCAGCAACTAAGACTTAATTCAAAAAAACAGGGTTAAAAGTACAAAAATTGGTTGAAAAGTACCTCTCATTAGCCTGCAATCTATGGAGTTATGGTCCTTCATGCACTGAGCCAATCTATAGAAGGCAATAAAATACTAAATTGTCAAAAACCATCTTGGTTAATTACAACCAATTCCTTCTTTGGAAGTCGGATCAGAAGCAGGTTGATTCCAACCCATTCCTCCTTTGGAAGCCATGATTCTAGCAAGAGCTGACTTTAGACTATGTTGTCTAATTAAAAAAGTTAAGAACAAGAATTGCATACTCATTAGTCACTTATTACTAGAACCACATGAACAAATTCATGCAAATGAGGGTCAAATGCCATACAACATTTACAATGAAGAACTTGTGTAATTCAAATTAAGAAATATTATCATTGCATGATAGCTTGGATTCCTCATTGTTTCTCACTTTTTTTAATTCTTTGGAAATGCCCTACATGGATGATCATAAGACGGTGAAACCACCGGTAGCATTCTTGAACATAAGTACATCAACAATTATGAAATGCTTGAACATAAGTAAACATACCCTCAAACAACTCATTTCACTGAATAAAACTAAAGCACAAAAAAAAGATGAAATAACATTTCCAAAATTCTATTGAAGGCATCAAGGAGCTATGGAAACATACCTGCCAGAGAGATTTCCAAAATTCTAGTTGATTCACGAGTACTTCTCATAAATTATAACATCTTGATTGATTCGCGAAATTCAAAGAATAACTTGTTAGAGAGAAGTCCTGGAAGAAAGCATAAACAAACAATGGCCAGTCATGTAGGGAGCTGAACTTTGTTCTTGATAACAACTACACATGGATGTTGATTCAAAACCCAAGTGCAATACATCGCAGCAGTATGGTGGATAACAGTATTAATCACAAACTTGCTTAAATTTTCCTACTTTTTCTTGAATAACAAGTAAAATCATTTTCCCTTTTTCATGGAGCATGAGCCTTGACTAATTATATATTCATTAAAAATAATGGAAATTTACCACAATCACTTCACGAGATTTCCAAAAGGAAGAAAAGCTGCAATTCAGTTTGGATATTAAGAGTCCTGTTTCCCCAACAGACAAGCAAAAACATGCATGTGTTCTCTCAAAAGAGGTAATGCAAACAAAACTTTCAGAGTTGTTAGTTTTAAATTATAGAAGTGGTTCTTCTCTTTATAATTATACAAGCACTACCAAGAAAAGAAAATTAAAATACTTCTATAACATTTTTTGAGAAAGAAAAATAAACCAGTCTCACAGTTCAAAAAAAAAAAAAAGTATCTAATGTAAACTCATTACCAAAAAGTAGATATTAACCTAATTTTCTCGCTCAGAAAAAAAAAAGGACACATTTTATCTGATTTCAGGATCCACACTGACGTTGCGCTCAAGAGCTCCCATTCCTCATATTGAAAACCTCAAACAAGAACTAAGCATTTCTCTCTCTAATTGCACTTAAAGGTCTCCTCTTAAAATCAACAGACAAAACCCTTGAATCTCCTGTACATGTCTTAAAACACAGTACCAAGAAAACCCAAATAATTCAAACCCACGAACCCCCCTTCAAACCCAATTCTCAGAGCTTAAGCTCAGGGCTTTTAGTGAGAGAAAAAAAACCGGAGTTACAGTAGATTCTGGGCTTTTGTTCTCTTCATTAAAGTTTGTGTAATTTGGCGTAGTCAATGGAGGTAATAATAGGAATATTGGAGCATTGAATGATGGGGGTTTTGCACAAAGGGGTTTTGCACCACGGATTGAATGGAGGAGAGAGAAGGACTGGGGGAAGGTGAGTTAATGGTCTTTTTTATGAGAGAGAGAGAGGAGCGATTTCCATAACCATTACCGAGAGCGAGAGATGAAAGAGAAAGCAGATAGAACATGGGAGAAAGAGCGAGAAGAGCAGATGAGAGACAGAGAGAGAAGAGCAGATGAGAGAGAGAGAGAGAGAAATTGGGATGTACCTGGTTCGAAGAAGAAGGCAAATCCCGCGAGAGGTGGAAGCAGTGTAAGGGTTCTCGAAAAATAATGCATATCATATGCGTTTACTTACAAATAAAGGGACAATCCAAACCATATGTCACAATATGTATTGTTTCCAAGGCTTAAAATCTATCTGTTGACACCCAAAATTGTTAATTATTAAAGTCGAGATGATTAATGCGATGGTTTTCCAGTTCCAGGAGAATAATTTCGAGTAAATTTGAGCTGCAGTTCCTCTTTATCTTATAATTACATTTTTTAAATGAAAAAATTTGTATATGACGTCAACCTTATACTATAGAAGTAAGACGCACCCAAGAGATACACCAAGAAAATGATTATTTGTTGTTGAAGTTATCAGTGAAGCTAGCAAGTGGAGCCCACAACTGCTTGTAAGGTAGGAAAGGAGATCAAATTCGAATTCGAAGCAATGGATATCTTGTAATCCTACTGCTTGTAAGGTATGAAATGAGATCAAATTTAAATTCGAAGCAATGGATGTCTTGTAATCTTACTGCTTGTAAAGTATGAAAGGAGATCAAATTAAAATTCGAAACAATGGATGTCTTGTAATCCAGTGAGTCATGTGCATTCCCCGATAGCAATTACATTCGGCCTAATCTCTATCCACAACTGACCCATCTCCTTAAAGCCAAGTAGACATGGTTGCTATGTACAATCTCTCATTGCGGATCGAACATGGGTGAAAAGATACAGACCCCCGATATGTCAGTTGCCTAAGTGGTATTTTACCCTTGACCCGTTTAAGCTGCAGTTCAAGCATAAACAGAAAATTCAGGTGCCAGATTGAGATATAGCAACAATTCTATGTTCAAGTGCATATGTGAATCTAGATTGAGCATATTCGTATCCAGTCCGAGGATCAGATTATTCAATTAGCATCAATTACCAGTTGATAAAAACCTGAATTAGGCATGGGACGAGGAGAGATATCGAAGCAAGAGGAGGAAGTAATCAGATGAGGGCTTTATTCTTCAGTCAAAAGAGTATACGTGAGGAATCTCTCAAAGGGACACGTTATTTGATATCTGGTTCTTTCGAACTAGGTTGAACTTCTATAAAGGCTAATACCGGAAACGAAGTTTGTTTCCATTTGAATCTTCACTTCAGTCAATGATTCGAAGACTTATTTTCCTTGTTAGTGATTCGAAGACTTATTTTCCTTATCCTCAATCTTGATCCACATACAGATTTGGGAATTATGATACTTGTTGAAAAACCTCCGATTGATCATCTTGATATTGGAATGCATAGTTATGAAAATAATATGATTTCAACTTATGAAAATAATACATTATATAACACATTATTTGAACCGTCAATCTTCAAAATTTTAAAGGGTTTATAGATTCACTCGATCTTCACTATTTTTGAAGATTTGAATATTATAAATTTGGTGAATATAAAATTTTAGGTTGTAGCAAGGGTTTTCGATATCAAAACAACATCTTTCGACACTATTTAGTAGCGTGCTTTAGTTAGATTATTGGGAAATTTATTAATACCCCCCAAAATCAACTTTCTACACATCGAACCCCCTTATACCCTAAACCCCAACACTACTTTTTCTTTGTATTTGCCTTCAATAAATAAAATTTCAATGAAAATGAGACCAAAGTACCCCTTTTAATACCAAAATGTGTAGGTAGTTGATTTTGGGGTATTTATAATTTTTTTCTAGATTATTCAGGGTTGACACCCTATATAAACCACACCCTTTGTTAAATAATTTCAAAAAACTTTCTACAACACACCAATAAGGGTAATCTAGATATTCCAAACATAAATGGCCGATATACACTATACACAACAAAGGGATACTTTGTTATTTTAGGAAATGGTGTGGTTTGTATAAAGTCTCAACCTTAAACAATCAAAGTAAGTTACAAATCTAAATCTTGCTAAACATGTACTTTTAATGCTCAAAATACTATGATGGCTAACAAATATATATTCACACCTAAATATAAAATCCAAAGCTCCAAAAAAGTAAGGCACACCTCCAAATCTTACTAAAATATGTAACTTCAGAATTGAAAATATTTACAATGCTTAAAAAGCTACTTTTACACCTAAAAATATAGTTTAAAGCTCAAAAAATGATGCAGACAAGGGAGGCAATGGGTTAGGCGGGCTGACAATAACAAAGTAGGCCCTAGGGCAGTCCAAAACAATGGTGGCCCCGGTCGACTATTACTTTTTCATCTTTTTTGCATTGCTTTTGTTTAATTTTACCTGGCCTGGCCCGACCCTGATATGGTCAGGGCCAGGCTTGGATCAGCTATCAAGGGAATTGGGTTGGGCTAGGGCTGGCCCAACCTGTTGCTAGCTCTAGAAGTGGATCAAGTAGATCTATAAAATATTCCAAATACTTGAAACATGGATTGTATACAAATATACAATTTACTTTTTACACCGAGAGGTCACAATTATTCCTATTCATTGGATATCAATTTGGATAGCTTAAGATGAGTTGCAAAGTCCAAAAAAAATTTATTTTTATTTTAACTTTGAGTATATTCAATAATACTGATACAACCACCCAAATTAAAATCAAAAGGACATGAATGATTGTGACCTCATTGTACAAAAAGTAAATAGTCTATTTGTATGTTTTTTCTTTAAAAAAGACTCTCTAAAATTCTAAATATTGTATTATAATATCTATTATTTTTAAGACTCGGTTTGTCTTTATTTTTTTTGAAAAAAAGATATAACCCTCATCTAAAAGTTTAATCCCAAATAACCCCCTGATGCTATGATTATCCCATGGAAACCTCCAAGTTAAATACCTCCTTACCCTTTCTATTGTCAAAATTACATAATTTCACCGATTTTTTTTCTTATTCAACCAATTACCTAAAGGAAATTTGTCTAATACGAGGTAGATCGCATAACTACATACACGGTAAAAAAAGTGTAAAGCGTCCATCTTAAAGATGGATGCAAGTAGATTATTATTTCTAGGTTTAAAATTTTATTGATTTTTTCATATTCATGATTTTCGTGTTAGATATTACATGTCCTTAAAAATCACGTCCAAAACTCCATCTAAAAAATACATTTATCAATAGGCCCACATTTCTACATATGCGAGCTTGGGCGCATAGAAACCGGGTCCTTATCTAAATCCTGAAATATCTGTCAATCTCTCTCTTTTTTCTTCACCCATGTACTTTTTCCTCTCTCTCTCGAGTCACCTTCACTGCATGCCTATGTATCTCTCTCATCTTGCCACAAGCAAGTTAAAATATGTATCACACATTTGTTTATTATTATGAGGTTATTAGAAATAAAAAACATACATTCCATAATTTGAATAATGAAAAAGGTCAAAAAGGGGTTAAACATTATTTTTAGTTTACCTTAATGGATTCCATGTATGAGACCGATGGTTATTTGGGATACTACTTTGAGAGAGGGGGTGTATGTCATTTGTATATATTTGGGATGAAATTTTTATGAGGCCTAGGCTTTATGAAAACAAAATAAAGCCTCGCATCAAATCCAAAACCCACTTTTGGCATCGGAAATATCCATAATGGCTCTAAAATCAATTTCCAACACCGATAATAACACTTAAAACTAAAAGATTAATACAGATTGGACTTATATTTAAGGTGAAATGGATGGTTTAGATTATTTCTTACAATATACACTATGTTTAAGAGCTTGAAATCTTATTTTTTTTCACAATCATAATGTTGAAGCCGAGATAATCGATTTAAAGATTTTTCAATGCTTAAATTGCAATATACAACTAGTTATGAGGTGAAATGGACGGTCTAGATTATTTCTCATAATATACACTAATTTTAAGAGCTTCAAATCCTAATTTGTTTCACTCAGAATTGTGAAGCCAAGATAATCGATTTAAAGATTTTTAAATGCTTAAATTGCAATGTACAACTAGTTATGAGGTGAGGCTATACTTATTTTCACCGTTTTCCTTTATTTGTTTTTCAAAATCTATATACATGTCGAGATCAAGATGATCAATTGTAACTTTTTTGTTTTTTGACGACGCAATACTTTTGCCGGGTGATTTTTCGAGGCGCACCTTACGTCTCATAACACTACCATATTTGAACTTTTTCCTAAAAACTTTACCAGCATTTTGGGATTCTGTGGTTTCACTCCAAAGGCTTTAAGAACCAACATTTTACATTTCAGTGAAGAAGTGACGTAGAAGAGCATTTTCTGAAACAAAAGTCTTATTCAACTCCTCCAACTGAAACCCTTGCCTCTCTGTTCCGAATTACCTGCCATTTCTTTTGGAGAGAGAGAGGAGGTGTGATTTTCATTAGAAGACTGATTCGGGAGTTGCAGAATTGGCTCTTAAGATCCAGATTCTCAGGTGCTTCTCAACCCTAATTATCGTTCTTTGCTTTTGTTGAGCTTTCAATTTTGGAGCCTCGAGAAACAATGCGATGCACCTTATAACCTAGAGAAATATGGCATGCAACATTATGTTAAGACATGGTCAGGGAGATTGCGACTGCTATATGTTTTCGAACTAAATCTATAGACTTTCACGTATCTGTGTTTGAATATTCATCCATTATTAGAAAGCTTGCTCCATCCATTCATTTTGTTTCAAATGTTAAATTGCAGCGATCTGCGGATTGCTTAATCTCACACAAGTCGAAATGGATAATTTTGCTTGTGTTGGTGCCCTACAATCAAGACTTGGGCACGAAAGCTGTAATTTGGATATTGTGGCCTTTTTCCCCACCTATTTATCGTGAGCGTTTCAAATTGAATACATTTTACTTTCATGTTATTAAGTCTTCTGTCTTGAATATGATAATTCTAAGTATTAGATGGTTTTTCAAATCAGTTTCATAGTTTATTTGGGGAGATCCAGAAGAGAGGAAAAGTTATTTTTGGGGAAATCCTTTTCCTCTGTTGAATAATTCAGTATTGACAGTTCGCAAAGGCACAAAGGCAAAGTTGATGCACGTGAGGCCATGGTTTGGGAACATTTTGAGGCTTACTTAGTTTCTGAAACTGAAAACAAATCTGTTAGGGATTTGGCATGTGTATATGCCCTATTCAAATGAATGTTCATTAGCAAAAAAATACCCGATACCACAAACCAAAATTAAAGACATTTCAACCTCTTTTTTTCTTTTTCTCCCGCATCAGATCCGGAAGTTTATGCATAACATCGAAAATCCTCAAGGTATGCCTATCTCTTTCTCTCTGATCTCTCTCTTGTGCAGGTGTTCTCTCTCAGGTTCCTTGTTTTCCAGCCTTCTCTCATCTATTACAAGTTCCTCTCTTCTTCTCTTTTTCTCTCTGGCTAATCTCACATTTCTTTATTTTCAGCTCTCTTTCTCTCTCCTCTATATCTCTTTTTCTCTCTAATTCTTCTTTTGTTCTCTCTCTTTCTTTGTAACTTAACCGTGCCGTTTCTAGGGTTTCACCATTTCTTATCTCCTCTCTCTCTAGGCTCCTCTAGCTGTCTACCCCTGGTTTGAGCCTGGATTTGCAAGGCTTGAACTACTATTTTATTGGTTGATTTTGTTAGGGCTTTGTGAGATACTTCTTATTTTTTTGTGTTTTGGTGAATGTGTTGGGAACTTGTCATTTTGGGTGTTGATTCTGCTCATATTGTTTTTAATTTTTTTGATTGTTGATTCTGTGATTGCTTGATCTTTGTTGATCCTGCTTGATTTATCATATTGTATGGGATTTTTTTGCAAATTTTATAGTCTGCATACCTGTATTATAGCAGTTTTTACAATACCCCTCAAGCCAATTGTAGCAGAACAGATAGCCATCACAATAGATGAGAACAAAAATCTCACAATGTTGGCTGAGGTAGCCTTCTTTTTCCCACATGCTATTATACTGGCTTGAGATG